AGCCGGTTATAATCGGCGACATAGCGTTTATTACTGAGACTAGATATGCGATTGTGACGGCAGCGGCGACACAGCGTTTCAAGAGGCTTCCCTGAGATTCGAATCCGCGCTCCGAAAACGGCCAGCCGTGTCATTGCCTGCGCGGGTGTGACGAGCTTTTCCGGCTCAGAATAGTTTATAAACACAGTGGACTGTTTATTTTATCCGCGGTTAGTTGCCGTATATACACTTTGTCGCGGACAAACGTTGCTTCATTCTCATTCTTTCCCGCTGTTGCAAGCAGTTTACGTCGCGCTTTTGTTACGCGGTTACGTTTCTCTGCTTCTTTGTAAAACGTAACTGTGCGAACAAAATCATGCTGCTTGTATAATCGAAATAATTTTACAATGGTATATATATATTAGTACTGTATGTATCAAAATATAATGTAATCATAATTTAGTTTTTTTTCTGCAAAATCTGCATTTTTTTACAAGTCACTGCTTCCTTTAAAATATACCGAGTTTCAAAGACACATTCTGAAAGCTAAAAGAAAAACAGTTTTAACGTATTATTATTTTTAGGAATTTCCTCTGTACTAGATTATGATTTGCGAAGCACATTTAGCTAGCTGGGTTGAAATTTTATCACTCGGTTCATTAAGTAGGTCAAAGGTCAGACGGTTTGTAACTAAAATTTCAAATTTTCGAGGCAACAATGAATCCCTTGTTGGAAAACTTTTGAAATGAAAAGAAGAAAAAAGGAAAAATTGTATATGAAATTTCTTCATGTATGAATTCAAAATATGCGAGACCTGAATACGAGATCGATAACAAACCGTTTAATAATGAAATTTACATCGCTTGTAGTTGAATACGTCGTTCTAAGAGAATCTTTTTATAATAAAGAACAAGTTAATTGATGTTTTTTTAGTAGACATTTGAATACACCGAAAAATTTGTCAATTACATTGCATTCGGTTTTACGTTTTGAATTCTACTGTTTCTATAATATGTCGATTCGATAAAAACGATTATCGTATTATTTGTCGGATTACTTGTGCAGATCGTCAATAGCAGAATTGATTGTAGCCGCTGCGTTTCACTGATCGCCAATTAAGTGAACACGATAGATTTTCTAAGCGATACGAACCGCTATCGTGACGGCGCCGATGACGATCCTCGTCGAGGTCCTCGACGAGGATTGGCCGTGGTTAATAATTGCCCTCGTGTGCAATATCGTGTGTGCTACGTGTGTGTAGTGTCCACGTTACGGAGAGTAGTTAGTGATGGTGGTGGTGCGCGTATACGTATGTACGTAAAGCGTTATGCACTCGTACCGTAGTAGCGTTTGCTCCCGACCTATCTCAACCTCCGTCACCGGGAGAGGGCAAACGCCAGCATGGACGAGAGGAGGTTAGACTAGGTTGGAAACGTCACTAACGGCCTGCGTTCATCCGCCAGAATAACTCCTGGTCGCTTTTGCGCGATTCTTACGTCGCGGCCGTTATTTCTAAGCGATTCGGCCGTCAATTTATTTTTCGGTGGCGTTTAGCGCTCAATTTTGAGAATTCGAATCAGGAGTGAGTTGTAATTTCTAGTTCCCATAAGATTCATGTTATTCATTTCCATACGTAATTGTATTGTTGTATAAATATTTTCGTATCACGTCTGATTCCCAATTTATAATTAAAGTGCATCTAAGTCAACAATAAAAATAATGAATAGGTAATAAGAACGCGTCAAAGTGATTTACTTTTTATTTGTCGTAAGAATATGAAGGGCTTTATTAAAAATTATTTAGTCTCGATTAAAGAAATCAACATGATGGACGTTTATTATTCATTACGAAACGTAATGGATTACTAATTGAGTTTGTATAAAGTAATCAGTATGCAGTGCATTATATTTTTTTTCGAGCATTTTTATAAAGCATCGAACCAGCTCGACATAGAACTTGTGCATCATCAATGAAGTTTGACGATGCTATACATTTCAGTGTGTCTTGCAGTGGAGTTAGACATACCGCGACAGTGAGAGATTGTGTTATTTGTGTACCTTAATTAGGCATATAGACTCCTAACTCGACAACCAGCTGTAAACGCTCCGAGCTCGGTGCCAAACACAATTCGGTTTGATCCCGTGTCTCATCGACATTATCATAAATATAATCTCCACTGTAAATAAACACAGTTCAATGAACATCAGATGCAACTTGCTCTTTTGCTATTGATCTTAAAATGTACTTCTTTATCAGTTTAGGAAAAAGATAGTAAGATATTACATTATTAATGCAAAAAAACAACTGCAGATGACCCAAATATATCTAAAATTATTTTAAATTATTTGACTAACTGCAGACAAATTGAAAAATTCAAGATGTTTTTTGTAAAAATATTCAAGTTTTTTTCAATCAGAAGGTTGATTGTTCGAAATCATTATTCGTGATATTTTTATCTCTTCATGATAATAACATTTTTACTAGATTCGGATGAAATTTTGATTAGCTTTCTTATTTTAGATTTTTTCGCATTTTGCAATTTGTTGTAATTTCACGCGATGCATCTCTCATATTGAGACCGCTCATACGGTCTTTTGCCGACAAATTTGCTCGCATCTGAGTTGGCGCGTCTCCACGATGTGATTCATATATGATACGCACGTATCATGGTCACCGAGAAATTACAAGCCGCGAGTAAAGTCAGTCTGGATTAGAACCGCCATGGACTACCGCGCGCGTTCATCCGCCAGAATAACTTTGAGTTTGCATAATACACGGTTCTCATGCTTCGTTGCGCCGTTCTTATCACGCCACTCGCAACACGTGCAATTTAACGCGACGGTATTAAAACGGATAGTTCCGGCATCCTGATTAACGTCATACAAATGTATCATGTTGCAACCATATATTTACCATAATCGTCAAATCTCTCAATATATACATTATTCAGAAACCGCCACGCTTGAAAATGCAACTTACTTTATGCTTTTTGATATACAATATTCTTATCATCACGAAAAGATGTCATTGTCGAACAGAAAGTTTGAAAAATAAATTTATTTATACGAAGATCAATTTCGAATTCAAGTTATCGCTATTATTATACGATTTTATTAGTATATTTCGCAATAAAAATAAAAAGAGCGTATTAAAGTGAATCTTTGGCTTCCATTATTAGTTTTATTTAGAATTGTCGACATGTGACAAGCATTTTTGCTTTTCTGTCAACTAATGTTATTTATGATGACCAATGATATATATATATAATTAGATAATTAGATATTCCTCGTACTGGTTATTGTGTAACAATCTATGATCAGTAGCGAGTTATGCTTACAAAAACGGATTGACAAAAAATACTTTTGTATCAGCAAGTTATCATCTTGAACGTAATGACAAAACAGGACGACAAAAAGCATGCAAATGACTCTGTAAGAAGTTATTACTGATGAATGCTTTGAAAACTATTCGCTTCAAGGCTAATTGCGCGTTTGATTTCATTTTGTTCACGTTTAACAAAACGTGAAGTGCAACGTTGCAGATTTTATGAATATATCGAAATGTGCATTTTTCAGTGTAACAAAGTATTACAGTGTGTCCTACAGCACGTCTTATCAAGGATACGTATTTCAACCGGTTCTAACTCTCTTATGCTCACTATTCAACATTTTACTATCTACTTTATCTTGTATTATATATATATATGATTTTTGCACTGAGTTAAGCAGTGTATATTTCACTGTTCTATATTTGAAAACAAAATATAATTTAGTAAAAGTTTTTCTATTAGAAGTTTCTTTTAGAGGCGTAACTGCGACGACGTAGTAAAATTTAGAACAAACGGTCATATAATATACATCATCTACATATTTTTTCGAGCTTCTTAGTGACCTCGCGAAGGTTAATAGAATTCGTGGAAAAAAACCATCTCTTTTTCTCTATCTTCTTTTGAATTTTTTTTTCGATCTATCTATCTCATATATTCCATCTTGCATCAGCATCCGTACAATTACCTATGAGCGGCGTTTTTCTTTTCACAAAGCGCAGTATATTTAGACGCATTTGGACCTCGTCCTTCGCCTCGGTTTGTCAAACTAATTTACACAAGTTTCGGCCTGCCGGAAGAAGCTACGATCGGAGACGACCTAGACCTTTCGACGCTGAGCATACCACCGGCGATTTACATGCCATTAACGCGCATTTTTCTCGCGCTCTCCCATCTCATCAATGACACGCTACTTGTTTACACAATTATGTCGATGTGTATCTCACACTATTGAAGCAACGTATGACGAATAGTGAACAGGGTTCCTAATCAAGATTCCTGGAAGGACAACGATGTCAACAAGTGACATAACTCATTAGTACAAATTTATTTGAAATTTATTTGAGTGCAAAACTTGTTATTGGAATTAATTTTTTCGGATATCTCGCGTCCATCACTTCGTATCAATCTTAGATATATTATCTTAATTCAAATTATGTCAATTTCATGCCGCAACATATTTACGATTAGACTCCTTATGGCTTTTACTCCGGAATATAATGTTGATTTTATCGCGCGGCATTCGACGTAAAGCAAAATAATATTTAATGATGCACCTATTTTATTATAAATCATAAAACAAAATAACACGATGGTCATTGGCGTGATGATGATTACAATATCATTAACATGTAAATGTAACACACAAGCTCCGATTAACGTATTACAAAACATAATTATGGTGTGGGAACGAAGATATTTGATAAATAGTTCATTATCTCGTTTAACTTGTTTTCGGCCAAGTTTCAAATAAAGAAATTTATATCATTTTATAAACATTATTGGAGATTATATTTTATCGTATATGTATATCGTATCATTTTGGTGACTCCTATAGCACTCGGTGTTATATTTATACCGATACTTATACTGATTTATTAATACTCACGTTTATCTATTCTCAAACAAATACCCTTAGCAACTACATATTTCGGGACAAAGAGGGTCCGCTCTTATCTTATGTCTTATAACTTACATCTTTTTCCGCTTAAGACATCCGAGGTGTAAAAAATCGTAGTTGCGAGCGCGTTCTTTCTTCTTTCTCGAGATTTCGTTCCGACGAGGGGGTTCGTCGGAATAATCACGTGATCACGGCGGTCCACCGCCTCGTGGTCACCGTTTCTGGCACCACGCGCGCACACCACATGCACAGATTTGTACCGGTTCCGATCAGACGCTCTAATCGGAAACGCGTCTCCGCCGCCTGGTCCGTTTTCTCAAGCACTTGTACGCGCACTTGTTCCTCATTTGTCCGATACTTCCGGCACCATGCGCAACCCTCACCGCCGCGCCGTTGTCGTCGGTTTTACGGATTATTAGAAACGCGACTACTCTTTCTCAATCACTGGACAAGTCTGTTACCTTGTTAACTTATAAACAACTATCACCAAGTGTTACGTTTAAAGCGTACGTGAAGCAATATAGATATTAGATAATTGCGTTGGACGTGTGTAGGCTCTGTTGTGAGATCTATAAATAATCTATAAATCTTTTTTTCAGTTGTACTTTGGACGATCTCGTCTAGACGGAGTAGAACAGTAGAACTAAATAAAGGCAGTAGAACGAGCACTGACGGGCACGTGTTTCGTTAAATAGATTATCTCTTGTTTCAAATATTAGTAATAGCTCTCTGATTTCGATTCTTTTGTGTTACGAGCCAATAACGGTTCCGTCGTCCATCCGTTCAATCGCACTTTTCTTCGTTTCACCGCGCGGCGCTTCTAACTTCTTGCAAGAGTCATCACTGATCGTGGTTCCGTGGAAAGCCTCGACGATCGTTCGCCGTATCGATTATCCGTCGATGAAATTCCGCGACGGCTATCCAGTTTTACTCTCGATGACTCTTCTAACTTTTTTCTATACCCGTTATTTTTTGCCGCTTTCGATCTCGATCATCTCACAATTAGCAATTGTACAAGTTCACGATAGCGTGACTGAGATAGCGTTGCCATAACTTGCAAATATCTCATGCGAGTGTATTTCCGATCGAAATGCGTGAAATGCAAAACCGATTCGCCGGCCACGCACTTGTGTGATCACCCCGTTAAATCGATATCGAGTCCGTTTACGCAGAGAACGCTTAATTCATTGCATCAGTGTTATCTCTGGCCATCGCGTATAACACGTTTACGCGGAAATCACTGACACTGCGCGATCACTCGGATGATTCCACGATCATCATCACTCCCTCGATGACACCTGCCGATCTTTGATTCCTCAATCACGAATCTCTTGTAACTTGTCGTAAGGTTTCGAGTGTTATTTACGAATCGCACACATTGGATGTAACAAGATTATAGATTTTTCCGATGGTGTCGTAAGAGCAATAAAATTTTCAATACCGACGAATCATCGAAGATCAATAATCTTATCTATTCGATCTTTTTTTTTTCCCACGAACGTTCTTGCAGCTGAGCTCACTGTATTTGTCCACTGTACTTCTCTCGCTCACGTGCGTGCTGTGCGTGGACCAAAATGGCAGTCGCAAGTGATTAGATAACACAGTCACTATTTCTATCGTTCCATTTTGTTCACTACTCGTTTAACAGGAAGTCGCGTCGTTACTCCGATACGGTTACTGAACTCCGGATATTTGTTTCGTTCGCAGTTTTCAAAATTGTTTTTTCAAACATCAGAGAAGTAATCAAAATAGTCGCTCATCGTAATTTAGTTTCGCAACAGTAGCGATCGCAAATTTTGATTGCGAAATAGTAGTCTATCTCTCTCTCTCTCTTGTAAATGTGAATCGGCCGTGCTTTGATTTAGGTAAGTTCTGTTTGTTCTTTCTTCCGGAAGTGGCAGTGTCTCGTTAAATTCGGCAGCGGCAGTGCTCGGTGTCGCGTGCGAGAGCGCTCGGTTTCGTCGCTTTGAGGTCTCTTCCGGTCTCTTCTTTCGTTGTATTCGCGCGCTGTTTCGGGGACGCGTGGCTGGCGCGCATGCCCAACCCGGAAAGGACCCGTGTGACTTTGGCCGTGGTCGTCGAGCTTGTCCGTGAGCGAGAAGGAATCACGGCAAGGCGAGAGCTTTCGATTGGCGTGTTCGGGTCGGTTCGTGTTTAATTGGCAGTGTTTCGTTACGAGATCAGAGTGACGGTGGGTCGTTCCACGTCTGAACGTAACCATCCGTCGCTGGTTCAAGTAGTAATGCGGAGGAATATTAGTCTGCGCAACGCGGCGATTAACTTACGATGGTCTAAATGCACAATAGCGTAGAGTTCTCAACGATATAAAGCTCACGCGGATGATGGCGAAAGGTAAAGAGAAAGAAAGAAAGAGAGAATGAGATATGCATATACGATAGACGAGGGACGAGGTGAAAGAAATACAGACAGAACCGCGCGGCGCTGAATATTCTCGCTCGATGGCACTTCCGGTTCGAGAGTTCGCGTACTTTCTCTCCTCAGCGCGGCGCGAGCGAACCGACGCGAGCGTTTTCCTGCCGCGTTCGATCGATCGGATCTCTATCGGCAATCTCAGAGTGAACTTCCGAATCTGGTTGCGACGTAAACAAGCGCGATCATTGGATGATTCTGCTGGTCGATGGAGAACAATCGATCTTCACACATCTTCGTGCATGGAGCGGTGAGCTGCGCGTCGCGCGAAACCCTCTCCGAATTTAATGATCGGCCTCGTTAAAACGCCGCGGTACGACGATCGCGTGTCGAGGCAATGTCCGCAGCCGATAATTCTAGAATTGTCCGAGTGTGCTTCGATTTCTCGCGCTACCACCACACCGCCTCCGGCAGCTTCACGTTCCTCCTGCTTCTCTATCTCTCCTCCTTCTTCTCCTCGTGCACCACCTCCTACTTCGCCGACCTTCCGAATTGGCGCGCGGCAACTCCGTGACCTCCGTGGAAAAAGTGGAGCGAGGGATTCGACCGGGTCGGTGTGCGGACGTCACACTCGGGCGGCGCGCCGAAACCGGGCGGCAGGTTGTCGTAGGTCACACACACACACACACACACACATACACACACACGCGCGCGTACGCACACAGGCACAATCGCGCGGTTAGGTCGTCTGCTGCATCTCGCGGGACATCTCGCTTCCGGTTCCTCTCGCGTACCCTTTTTCTCTCAACGCACGCACACGTGGGGATCTACACGGCAAGATCGAGCGCGCGCAGCACGCGGCGTGAGGGAGGGAGTCGCGGATTGAAATTTGGCGCGGTCGATGCCGATCGACGTCTCGCCACGCTGCCTCCTGCACCACCACCCGAACAGAGGGGTTCACACCACTGGGATCCGTCTCGCGGGGACGCCGAGACGCGCGTTCCTCCCTCGGTGCGATTCGACGATCGGGCGCGTCTTCTTCGTCCTCGTCGTCGTCGTCGGACCGCGTGCGTGCGTCGCCGCGGGAACGCGTCGTCTGTACGCGTCGTGTGCCTGTGTACGCGCGTGTACGCGCGCGAGCATGAAACGTGTGTCACCGCCGTCGTGCCGAGAGGAGGTGTAAACCGCCGAGTGTGTGTCGAGCTGAGTTGGCTTCGACAAAGTAGGGCGACGACTGGGACAGCGGCCACGGGCACCGGCGCTGCCTCGCTCGCGCTCACCGACCAAGAGCGAGAACTCGCGGCGCGCCGCGCGGTGGAGGAGCCGTGGAAGTGGAAGAGAGAACCCTCCTCGTAAAACGGCAGCAACCGCACGCTGCGCTCTACGTTCTCCAGTAGGGGAACTTGTGATGCCGCGCCGCGCCACCGTTGCAACAAGCCACGCCACCATCCGACTCTATGCCTGGCCACCTCGCGATTCTCTAGCATGCTAGCCATGTATATACGTGAAAAAGTGCGTTGCGACGCAACAGACATAAACCAGGAATAATCACGGCATAAAACTGAAATAGTGTGACGGGGTCCTTTCGTAAGAAATCCATTCCACGATTCAACGATAATACATGCGACTGCGATATAACTGAATGATATTGAAATACATGTAATAGAGAGCCCGATGTATTATCCCTTATTATACGTTAATCACATATTTTATGCAATATTTAGTCTCAAGCACTGGGAGGAATTGTCATATCAATTATTTTTAATATTAGTGTAATTAATGATGAATCGCACTTATTTATAATATGCGCTTTCGCATTCTTCACGAAGATTCACCTAGCAAAAATTTAGATTTTCAAGTCTAGATTTTTCGAAGAAATTGATCGAAATCTGCAGTTTGATTATTATTTCATGAAATATGGCGTTTCTGCGTCGCGACCTTCCTCCTTCGCGGACGATGCTCTATTTTCGCGGCTACCTGGCCAGCGCTCGCTTGGCTATCGAGCCACTCGATAAGGCTGCAATTAACTGAAAAATTCCCGTGATCTTCCAACATTTTCTCTCACACGGAATGATCGCAAAGACGATGTCTCTTTAAGTAGATTTTAAAAATTGATAGTTTTTTTGTTTATTTAATAATCGTGTTATCCACTCTTAAAAAAGGTCTTTAAAAAATTATATATATTTCTTTGTAATTAAAAGAATAAATAGCGCATGTGTGTAACGCGCGCTTATGTGTTTCTAGTAGCTATAAATATAATATATATTTTTTGTTTCATGTCACTTTTATACATGGTAGGAGCGGGTGGGGTTAGAAATCAGACTCTGACGTCATCTAAATCTGAAAGTTTTTCTGTGATTCTAAATAGATGTAAAATAATAATGTATTCGTGTTCACGAATAATTTAAAAAATGACTATGGCTGGCAATGTTACTGCAATACACAAGATATCATTTTGTTTATTGCATCTCGAATTGCGCCAATAATTTATGTGATACTTCATTCGATATTTCGACGGCAATAGTAATTTGACATTCCGCGTATGAATATGCATCGTGTTCGTATTTCATTTATCGTCAATAATCGAAACTTCTAGCGTTGCACCTTTGTTCTTTTATCTTTGTTTCTAGAACGTGTACAATTGATATTTACATTCTAATTACAGAATCCATTATTTTGATACATGTAACTTTTTTTTAATTTGTCGATATTGCAAGATGCACGATCATATTAGTTTCACATTACATCGTACATTTGATTTAAACCCGAAAAAAATTGATTATTCATGTCGTTACAAATTTGCATATCATTATTGTATTTTTGCAATTTTTGAGGTAAAAAATATTACGGTAAAATGTTAATTGTTATAGATCAAAATTAATCCTTTAATTTATTTCATTTTATTTTACGACGATTAAAATTCATACTATTTTTTTCTTTTTTTTTATTCAAGTATGTATATGCTGCTAATTATTTAAGTATTAACGGGTGATATGAAAGCTACAGGCTTGGGGTGTACAAGCGCTCTTTCGCATCCCCTACGCGCTTGAAACTTTGATCCTTGCCAATTCATCTTTTGTTCTCCCTTTTCGGTCGGGTACAATGGATTCGTCCGAAAAGGAAAAACCAACCGTTCCGTTCGAAGTCAAAAGAGAAAGCCATACGCGCGCGAGTGAGACATTCGCGACAACTCTTTTGGTTCTGCATATGTTCTTATTATTCTTCTACACGGTCTAGGCCATGATGTGTTCGATAACCAAAAACTTTCACCTGAATGTTTTCCCTCATGGCCGCGCGTGATTCTCGTCTGTTTTCTATTTTTTATGACACGTGTTTTGACACACAACCTCTCTTGATCTTGATCTTTCGATCAATTCGTTGCGTAAGAATATTGCTGAAATTATATTCATGAGTGGAATATTCCACCGAGATTTCATCTCTGAATTTATTGTACGCGCGTTTCGTCATGCAGCACGCAGTGCAGTGATTTGTATTCTGCTGTCTTTACGGAACGAAGCTACGTTCTAGAATAGTACAGAGAGAGAGAGAGTGAGAGAGAGAGAGAAAAAGAAAGAGAGAGAGAGAGGGGCCATCGCAGAATAGCGCGAGATGGTATATGCAATTGCGTAGAGCAGAGTGGCAGTAGCGTAGTAGTTCAATTTGTAAGTATCTCTTTAAGAACCAAAGCAATGTACGATTAATTTTTAGAATAAATATACTTAAAAAATATAAAAAGTGTAAATAAATATAGAAATACATAAGAAGTACATATAGAAGTATTGTATAAGATTTTAGAAATTTTAGAAATAAATTTTTTAACAAATTTCAAATTTATTCAAATCAAAGGAATTATAATGATATTTAAAATTTCACTCTATCAACATACGACCGTGATGAATTAATAATGCGGAATGATTAATTAATTTATGTTTCAGCATAACTCCGCAAAAAACAATATTACGAAATATTATGAAATTTAAAACGCGAAATCTCTCGTTAACTCGATATTTAAATAATGTAATCTAAGAAACCCGTGAATATCCAATTATAAAAATTAATGATGGCGCACAAAATTAACCAAGCCTTTTTCTTATAATTACATTCGGTTAATTCTTGCAATGTTTACAGTTGGTATTATTCTTACAAAGCGAAATATAGATATTCGGACAAGACACTAATATCGAAGATATTAATTTGCACGTTTATAGGTTTAGGTACAACTTTCTTAGATACAGCTTTATTAGAAATAATTATAAATGGGTACCAATATCACTTTTATTATTATTACTTGGCGTTTGGCACTTCCACGGTAATGCGACGTGAAAGAAAAATGCGAAGTTAAATTCACTCGACTGTTTAAGTGTTAACATTTAACGGAGAAGTGGCGATTTATCGTAAGAGACGCAGCGAGCAAGAAGTCTGTCTCGAAGGTTAGTTGACGATAAATCAGTCCGCGTTAATAACCAAAGAAAAGTGATTACCGAACGGATTTTTAACTTTACGAACTCGTCTATATCTGTAATGTGCCATCGTAAAGAAGTAGAAAAATAGTTTGTGTGTCACGCGAAGATTCGTCATTGGTCAAGACAAGATTTACGATCGAACATTCTTTTTTCTCGAGGACTCGCGCGAATGAGCATAACTTATATTCTTCTCCGGGATGAAATTGAGTCCTTATCCTTGCATCTTCCGCGGGGAGCGGTCCTACCGGTAGGAAGAAAGGTCCTATGAAAGAAAGAGCCAACAAAGGCCGACTATTAGAGTAACTCCTTCGAGCATCATAAAGACCCAAGGATCCTCCACAACGTCGCCCTGACCTCAAAAAATACCTCGCCGCTTTTTTTTCCTCTCTCGCATTCTATCGTAGCTGCAATTATGTTCGCTTGTAGATAAGTCCGCCGAGGCGATTGTTACGGACGGTGGAACGTAAGCGTGAATTTATTTTTCACATTTCAGAAATTCTTTTTACAGCACACTGCTTCGTTTTTTTAAATAATTTTTACACAGACATATCGCTATCGTTAATCCATTTTTTATAATATAAATAAATTTTGTTTCAAGGCGTTAATTTTCAACATTATATCAAGTCAAGGTATTTAATTTTACATATTTTGACGATTACTTTGTTATTCGATCGAAAATTATTTTGCTATATATGTTTGCGGAAACATGCTTGTCGGGCAGAAACTCAAAGACGAGCATTGATTCTCGCACTCGCGATTCTAATCATAATCACGACGAAATATCGTGGTTGAACGGGCGAGGAATTTCTGTTTGCGATCCTGCCAAGTCGATGACCTTTCAGCGCTTAATCGTTCGTAACCAAGCTCAGGTTATTCGGGCGATCTCTTGGTCGTTTCAGCGCATATTCGGGTCGACTATTGTTCGTCGCGCCGAGGAACAGTATTTCCGGTGTTGAGTACTTTCGTTATTGTAGAGTAATGCTATCTCCTGTCAACGTCATTTTGTTCCGAGAATCCCGCGAGATCGCTGTTCTTCTCTCTGCGTCACAGGAAGTGTGTCAGTCGCTCTGGTTCCGCTATTAGCGGTAGCGCTTGTATTAGGCGGGAGAAAGCGCGAGTTTATATGCTCTTAAAATTCTTAACGAATCCTTTTCGCCCTCGTTAAACAGCCACGATGGCGCATAATCACGGACGTTGTCTCATGGCAGAGAATTATACTCGGAATTATTAACCCTTTCATTCCCAAATTATTTAATAGCTAATCTGTTTAAAATATAAGGAAATTATAATTTTTGAACATTAATAGCATTTACAAGATAACTCTTATTATTGAATTGTTACGGCAAAAAATGAAAAAAAGATAATATTCTAATATTTTATTGCGAAATTTGAAATAAATACATATCAAAATACGTGCTAGAGTCATGTGTCTAAAGAGTCAAGACTAAAAAGAACTAGTAGATATTCACAGATATCGAAATATAGATCGCAGTAATATTTTATTTCATAATTTGAAATATACGTAACCGTATAGCTACAGTGGGAGCGGAAGGATTAACAAAAATGATAAATTTACAAAAATATGCGAAATATTAGTAACATACTTTATTTTAAATTAAATTAAATTCTAATTCAATAAATCAATTAAAATTAAATTTAAATTCAAATTTTATTTTAAACGCGAATTAAAATAATATATTTTTGGACAATCTTCAATTTGACAATTTTGTGTATATATTTGGAATGATATC